TCTTCAAGTTTGATAATAATTAATAAACTAAGTAATGTTCCTCTACTCACGGTTGGTACATGTTAATATGTCCACCGCTTATGTGGAATGCACACATTGGTGATGTACTTTTTGAACATATTAACATCACCAATATGTGCATGCCACATAAGGGGTGGACATATTAACATGTGTCCACCGTAAGTAGGGGAGCATTACTATTAATAAACCATACATTTACATGTAAACTTTTTGTGTCTAATGATATAATAGTTTGATAACCAATTTTCAAGGAATTACTTTAGTACAATTGGAAATATTTTAATTGAAAGTTAGCCCTTCCCCAAAAAGATTGAGGAAGAAAAAACACAATTAACTAATAAATTGGGACTAAATTTAATATTGAATCTATAATGATTGTGGAAGGACTGGACTTGTAATTTCACAAAACGTAGATCCCGGTTACTGGACTTGTATTTTAAGTGGCATTTCTAAGGCTGTTAGTGGGTCTAACAATGAAAGCCCAACAAAATGAACTGACTGGGCTGAGAAAATGACCCAGAATTTACAGTGAAAAAATTATTGGAAAACGTATTTTGTCGTTTTCCTTTGTAAAAAAAAATGTGAAAAACGTATTCAGTGAATACGTTTTTTAATTAAATTATACAGAAAACGTATTCAAAGAATACGTGTTTTTTTATGTTGGTCCACTCCCTCTTTTTTTTTCTTTCTCTATTTTGTCCACTTATTATTTTTTTACTAATAAATATATAAATTGCTCTACGTTACATACTGCACATAGATTTATATTTCTCAGTTAAATTTTTTCCAACTCAATCATGTATAAGTAAATTTTACTATTATTTTTTTTCGGCACATTATCGGAACCAATTTGATAAGTAACCAATTTCTCATGCTAATCAACTGCTAATACACCATAATTATGAATTTATGTGCATATAAAATTCGCAATTCACAGTGTTCAGTTTCAAAATCACACGATTACAAACTCATATACATTTGTAAGAGTGTTTGTTGTACATAAATCACATGATATCATGTCATCTCTCATAAATAGGTTTTTTTTCTTGGTGGATATAATTAGCTTAATGCAGGTTATAAATATATCTGGCTAAAAATGACTAATCTATACTTATATTAAAGGCCATACCATTTACTTAAATTAGTATGTAGAAAAGTCAAAGCAATTAATGCTTATCTATTTTTATCATTTGAATATTATATTTTATATT